AAGATGAATCAAACAAGAAGGAAGGATAAGAGGGGTAGTTCAGCCATCACGACATTTTGAGGGCATTGTCATCCTACAAGGTACTCTTCTCCCACCAATCCGAGGAGTGGGGGATGTGTCCAGATGGGGACCTTGCTGCGCACGATTGAGCAAGTTTCGATCCCCGTCATTGGCTGTTAAACAGAGAGAGTGGGATTTACTGGATGATATCACAGAGAGATTCTCCCTCTTTGGGCGATCTTCGCTGAGCACCTCATAATAGACAACTCTGAGGGAACTCCCTGAGGAAATGGACTGGAGGTCGGCTTTCACTTCCATCCATCTGGATAGAGTACATGGAGGGTATCTGCACTGGCCAATCAGCATCCCCCACTCACCCTTACTTGCCTCAATTCCAGACTAACCAGGAGCAGCTAGACATGTATCTACAAGGAGTAAGGTGGTAAAATATGCGTAGTGGCCAACTGTTACATACCGTGCGGGGTTGAGATGTTACAGCCTCGGATGCTGGTCGGCAACCAAACAGTTGAGCTGATGAGAGTCAATACATAACTTCTGTAGCCTCGTCTCACTCTGCCCTCGTCATAACTCTCACACCCACCGTCATTCATCCATCATGTCTGCCTCTGAACAGGTCCAGCTGGATAATTTCCCCACCATCTTCTCCCTGGAGGGAAAGGTTGCCCTCGTCACTGGAGGCTCTCGCGGTCTAGGTCTGCACACTGCCAGTGGGTAGGACAGAAGCAATCGCCCCAGAATGAACCAGGATCTTACCAATTGATCTAGTCTCCTCCAATCGGGCTGTTCCAAGGTCTACATCACCTCGCGCAAGGCGTCTGCCTGCGCCGAAGCCGTTGCGGCCCTAAATGCGCTCCCCAACAAACCCCCGCACGCCACCGCCATCGCTGTCCCCGCCGACAACTCTAATATGGAAGAGCTAGACCGGCTCGTCGCCGAGATCTCCAAGACGACCTCCCATCTCGACATCCTCTTCGCCAACGCCGGTGCAACATGGGGCGAGAAGTTTGATACCTACCCAGAGGACAAGTTCAGCAAAGTCATGGACCTGAATGTGAAGAGCGTCTTCTACACCATCCAGAAATTCACCCCCCTGCTGACGGCACGGGCCACCCAAGATGACCCGTCGCGCGTTATCGTAACTGGCTCGACTGCAGGCATTACACTGGGCAGTCTAGGCCCCAGTGCAACCTTCAGTTACTCTGCCTCCAAGGCAGCTGTGATGCATCTCGTCCGGAACTTGGCCGTCGATTTGGGGCCCCGACACATCCTGTGTAATGCCATTGCGCCAGGATTCTTCCCGTCCAAGATGGCCAATGGGCTGATCAAGATCAAGGGAGGACTGGAGGATCTGGAACGGAGGTCGCCAAACGGAAGGCTGGGCAGGAAGGAGGATATTGCGGGCTTGGTCGTGTTCCTGGCCAGTCGGGCAGCAAGCCACATGAATGGAGCTGTGATTCCCATCGATGGGGGGAATCATTTGGCGCGATTGTAAATGATGATTGGGTTGAAGTATACGTGTCCGAGATGTAGGAATGGCCTGATCGTTGGACATGGATGGAAGAGTCCCCATCGCAACCGGGTGTCGCATCAAGCCACTGTTTGGACCTCTGCTTGTGTTGGGTGGCAAGGAATGCTACCCTGTGCTACCAAAGAAATGGAAGCAGTCATCAGGAGATTGCTTGAGTAGCGTAATTCTTCCTCTCTGAATTTGCCTACATATGGGGAGCGTCCTCGCTTTCATCTATCACCCGACGCGCATGCCTTTTCTTTTCCTTTGGTAGCTTTTTATGTATACACTTGACCAGCAATGATCTCTCTTTATACAACCACACCTTACTATTAGTATATACAACAGCCTTCTGAGCTGGCTTGTGATCATGCACCTCAGACTCATTGTCACCGTTGACATCGCCCCTAATCATATTCCAGCTGACATCAAATGACTTGCTCGATAAGCCTCGAGCCTTTCTGATTTCCCGACTTTTTATCCGGAGAGAGCGTCAAGTCGACCATCTCGGGGTGTAATCGAGTGTCGGACATGGACCTGAAGAAACCTGGGTACTCATGCATGTGGCCTTGACTACATTATGGCACGCATGATTACCATCGAAACTGACTACGGAGTTGGCGAACCCCGAGCCACCACCACCCTGGAAATGAAGCTCGCCTAGCGTGCCTGCCCTGAACGTCGGGCTGGAAGCTCTACGGTCTCCAGCGGCAGAGAACCATTCTGAGTTTCGAGAGCTGGAACAATATTCAATCTTAAACTCCACAAGGTCGCCAACCTCGCGTACGAGCGCAGGTGATCATGCACAGTTCTTCTACAAGGCATCACTTCTTTTCACTGTACCGTACACCCGGGGTGCTGGTTCTCTTGAAAGATAAACGAAAACAAGACTCGACGTGGCCTTCGTTTGGTATATCTTTTGCTTTATCGCTCGACCTATCAAGACAAAGGGTCTCGTCGCCCAATCTTCAGCTTCGAGAATCCAAAGTACAGCATACCAAAATGCCGAAAATGATACGAGTACGCTTAGACTCGGAATAATTGCTATCAAGTCAGCAGAGCGCATCTTAAATGATTCACCACAGCCTGATGAGAGTATTCATCAACCTGGCCTTTCGTGGCTAAGCGAGCTATACCCCGGAGGGACCCTAGTTTCTGAAATATGCTATTATCATGGTCACGAAGAGGTCAGGGAACGTTTCAACGTTCCGGCGTCCGGTGATAGGCAAGATCAAACCCAAAAGGTTGTGGGCACAGTAATGATCCAGTACGTGTCATGTTCCTACCTTTTCTCACCCGCCTTCTAATGAATCTTTATTGATGGTATTACCAGATGACCATCGTACTGTAAATTGTATATCGTCCCATTTGAGCACATTCCCAAGAGCCGCAACAATATATTCGTCTCCGTACAGCGGAGGAGCAGTCGGAGTAAACTTCGGTGCCACACAAAAAGCTTCAGATGGCACGGGAAACTTCTCATCGACCACAACTGTCGCCTCTATAGCTGCTGGACCAGAACTGAGGTAATGGAAAGACGCATCGCGGCATTTCAACCCAAAAAGCAGGAGTATGGTGCAGATGTAAGGCTGGAACATGATGCTGTGGGGAAATTTCGCTGAGACCGCAGAGTCCGATAGCTTGCTTGGATGTTTGTGGAGATCTTGATCGGCATCGTGAGAGAACTGCTATTTACAGCACAATGGTCCCCTCCGGAGTATCGTCTCCGCTTGATAATCCTGTCGGTGCCTCTGTGTGGGCGGTTCGACCCAATGGAGACTATCGCTCTGGAACCACCTGCGACCCAAGACGAAGCTGAGAGTCTGCGGGCCCTTGCTGCGTGATCTCGAATCACTTCCTAGAACGCTACTAAACAAAACCGGGACGACTTTTGCCATTGGGGCTGTGAGATTCTAAACAGGCAACATAATAAGAGGACATGCAGTTCGGATGTGACGGAGGAGGATATAACGATAGGGAACTGGTTTCTTCGAAGATGATGATACAGGCAACCACTTTGCTTTCCCGCAGGCCTACTAATATTGGGGGAAAGTACCGTCAACTTTGTGTCTGTCATCTGCATTTAGCGTGGTAGTCTTATGGACCACGCAAGGATACTGGATTTGTCATGTATCGAACAGTCAGTCTACCCTCCCTGCCAGTGGCTTTGTTGGGACTGACAGCCCATAGACACTCATATCCAACGATATGCCACATCTTTTACATGTTGCCGCCCCAAGGGGTTTATAACGTCTTGCACATGTGGATGATAATGCTCGTAAGAGAAAATTTATGTTGTATCCCGGTTGGAAGTCAGGCCATGTATTTTCTTCTTCTCTTCCCTCCTCATGCCCCGTTCTTATCACTTTAGCTTCCCTGCACTCTGGCAGCCATGCCTACGTATCCTACTGTTCTGAACCAAGTGCGGCATTTTGAAACCACAGCGGTTGCGAGTGGAGCAAGTAATTGTGCTCTTGCTATTCTGGGTGGCAGTACGGAAATATGCTGGATCACGAAAAGAGTATTGGAAGACCGCAACGGTTGTCCAGTCGCACCCAGCATCCTTTTTGCTGGCCTGGTTGGATCACAGGAATGGGAAGGACAAATCATCATGCAGGGCCAGGGAAAATGCTACTCTGGGACTTCCGATGCCCGCCTCGATTTTGTGTAGGTGTCTCCAGCTATGCACTTCTCATGGCTATACTAACTGTTTCAGTAATCAATTTAACCACGTCGACACTACCTTACTGACGTTATAAACATTCAACATGTCTACAAGTGGCTCATACGGCATTTGAACGAGCCCCCAGTCAAAGACAGCCACCAAAACAACTCCCCTTGGTCCCCCCTTTGGCCCAGCTGTGGCAGTTCTCGACCCAACTGCCCTCTTCGTGGCATGGAAGCTGGAGCGACCAATCTCCGTCGTTCCTCGTGATGACACAGACGGCTAAACAACATGTCAACACCGGAGGAATGTTGTTGTTGAGGGCAGCAGGGCAGATTTCGGTACGAGCAAGACTTGAAAGATGCGCACAAATTCTCGCGTTGCATGACAAATGTTGGGCTACGAATGCCGGAGCCCAACTTCATGTCCACATATGAATGCGGAGTCGAGCAATCCTCTCAGAAGCGGCTAGGAGGTTATGGCTGCAGCGATGGTTCTCTCTCTATTCATGGTAGACCATAATGCGAGAGTCTATTGTGACTCGACAAGCTATGTTGTGAGCAGTCGCGTGCCAGTTCCACCAAAGAACCATGCTGACCCTTGCTTTGGCAAGAGTTTCTGCCAGACCTACTGCTTCAAGTAGGCTCAGCTGGTTCATACGGTTCGGGCCGAACAAGAAGTTTCCCTGTCTAAGGATGGAAAGCTAGAAGAGATAGCCCATTACGACCAGGCGTCATGGGTCCATGGCGGCGAATTTGGCCCTGAGCATCCGCTTTTTGATGTTGACCAGCTCGAAGAACCTGCTGAGACAGACCAACTGTGCGGGAAAAGCATTAAGACCCTAACCATGTTCTGCTCGCAGCTGGCAGGGACATTTGCGACAAGGTGTTGGAGTTTCATGGCTTGGGTCTATATATTATATAATTACTCCTCATACTCCCCTTCAGCCAAGGTATCCGAAAGTGATGATCCAGCTCCAGATAATCTGGAGCCAAGCCAAAGGTCGTGGTCCCGAATCAGTGGAAGAGTCATCTCACTTCACTAGGGAGTCCTCGGTTGCTGAGACAGACTGTCGGTATCCAGATCGCTACATACCTGTATCTAGGTATTACAAAGCTCCGGGAAGCTGATTTCAGTCGAACATCAACCCTCTGTCAGCCTTTTCCGACTCAACATAATCTGTTGTGTCCTCTGCTCGTTCGCAAGCTGCGAAACGGATAGAGCTGACAACACATTCATGGTATGTCTACTTTTGCCTACGAGGATAAAAGGAAAAACTGGCTTACCCGTGGTAGGATATACATTTGACGATAAGATTCCACTTCGCTCGAAACAGCGCATGTTTCCGAAGGCCACGAAGGGAATTTCGATGAGCGGCTGCTATATGGCTATCAGGCTACCACTCATCGACGCCTCGATATCCGGTCCAAATCCACCAAGACACCCGAAAATGACGACTTCCAGTCGTGGAGGAAGGGAGAAAGGTTCCCGCTACGGCAACACTGATTGCTTGGACGGTTATAACGACAGCAGTGTCAACACTACTGTGTTTCCTTGCTGGTGGGGTGGGTCAGTAGGGGGATATCAAACTTCTGGCTATGGTCAAAACTTATGCCTGACGGCGAGGTGGTGGGACGAATGATTGCATTCGGGAATGTGAGGTGCTTATGCCTCTGCTATCGCTGCCTTATCCTACATGTACTCTTAGCTGCACACTCGCAGCACCAGGCTACCCCTCTACATCAATTGTTAGAAAGATTTTATCGGCTAGTTACCGCTTCAATTATTATGTAGTCCATTTCTAGTTTTACTTCTATGGCTGTGGTACATTAAGCTTACCGATTGTTCGTATCGGTTCCTGGGAGTAATGGCCTCCCCTCACGTGGAGTCGGGCCTCGGCTGCGTTGCTTCTCCGCATTCCCCAAGTATCAATCAATAGCCCCATTCCCTATTTCTCTCCTGTTCTCGTCAACCTAAACCTCAATTCCCATCTACTAGCCATCAAATCCAAGGATCAACATGTCTGACTATAAGTCCATTGCAGCTCGCAAGCAGCAGCATTTGGAATCACTCATTCCCCCGGAATGGCGTCTCGACGCCTCACAAATCCCCGCGGGGATGCTCTCCGTCGCCGACTCCGTCACCAACCCTTCCTACAGCGAGAGCATCAACGTCGTTGATATCCCGCGAACTTGCGGGCTACTCACTCCTCATGAGCTGCACATCACCGAAGACTACGACATCCGCTCCCTCCTGACAGAGCTCCACTCCAAACGCCTCACCGCGGAAGAAGTCACCCGCGCGTTCTGCAAGGTATACCCAACTCCATATAAGAACATCACATCACTAACCTCACCTCACCTCAGCGCGCCGCTATCGCCCAACAACTCTCCCGCTGCCTCTCCGAACCTCTCTTCACCCAAGCCCTCGCCCGCGCCCGCACCCTCGACGCCCACCTCCGCACCACCAACACCCCCATCGGCCCACTCCACGGCCTCCCCATCTCCGTCAAAGACACCTTCCACATCACCGGCGTCGATGCAACCAACGGTCTCGCCGCCCTCGCCTTCCACCCCTCCACCAAAGACGCCGACCTCGTCACCCTCCTCCAATCCCTCGGCGCCATCATCATCACCAAGACCAACGTCCCCCAAACCGTCTCCACCCTCGATACCGCAAACCACCTCTTCGGCCGCACCCTGAACCCCCTCAACCGCCGCCTAACCGCCGGCGGCAGCACCGGCGGCGAAGGCGCCCTCCTCGCCCTCCGCGGCACCACCCTCAGCTTCGGCACGGACATCGGCGGCAGCGTACGCATCCCGCCCATGTGCGTAGGCAAATACGGCTTCAAGCCCAGCCACGGCCGACTCCCATACGGCGGCCAGCAAGAGAGCGGACACCTGCCGGCGAAGAACCGCATCGCATTGCAGCCTGTGGCTGGAGTGATGGGCCACTCCGTCGAAGACATAGGGTTAGCATTGGCGGAGATCGTGCCCAGGGCAGAACTGTTCGGAGAGGACTGTATACCCGGAAACTGGGGACCTTCATCATCATCATCATCATCATCATCATCCCTATCACCAGCCAAGCAGAAACAGAAACTAACCATCGGCATCCTCCGCACCGACGGCCTCGTCGAACCCCTCCCTCCCATCCGCAACATCCTCAACGAAGTCGCTACCATCCTCCACCATCATGACATCGACCTCATCGACCTCCCCACCCCACCCGCCCTCCGCAAATGCCAAACCATCGCCAACAAACTCATGGGCGTCGACGGCGGTAACCTCATGCACGACCTCCTCGAACAGACCAACGAGCCCCTGATCCCCTGGCTCCAGGGCCGTTCGAAGCGCCGCAACCCACTCACGGTACCGGAGCTATGCGAGCTGCAGCATCAACGAGCACAGGTCCAGCGCGAGATGATGAGCATGTGGACGTATACCTCCCCCACAGACAACCAAGGAAACGAGAGGACGAAGAGGAGAATAGACGCAATCATCCACCCCGTCGCACCGCACCCTGTCCCCGAGCACGACAAGTATAATGCAGTCGGGTATACCTCGTCCTGGGTACTGTTGGATTACCCGGCGGGAGTGGTGCCGGTGCGGAAGGTGAAGATGGAGGATTTGGAGGTGGGGAGGGAGATGAAGGATCCGGTGAGGGGGAGCTGGGATGCGAAGAATAGGGAGTTGTGTATGTTGTCCCCACCCTTTCTTTCATGTTACTTATGATATTGTGTTTTTGGGTGTTGTGTTGTGTTGTGATGTGCTGACCAGAGTATGATGGATGCAGGGGACGAGAAACTCGTCGATAGGCGCATGTACCTTGATTCGCCGCTTAGCGTGCAGGTTATTACCCCCAGATTGCATGATTATGAGCTGGTCGTGGCGATGGGGGTGGTTGATCGGGCTGTCAAGGAGTATTTCTCTAGATCTACGGATATAGCGAAGCTATAGATAGATAGATATCACGAAGCATCTCCTAGATGTATATCTGTATATGCATACATACATACATACATACTACCAACCTACACCCAACCCCCCTCTTCTCAAGAGCAGAGATAAGATAAAAAGAAAAAGACCCGGGGAGAGAGTGAGGGAAAAGGTAGGTTAATACCTCGAAACATCCCTCCCAAAAATCTGATTGAGCAACCACCTAAACCCGACCCTCAATTTATTCCTCCAACTAATACTCATTGTCAAGTAGGCCGAATTCCACACCACCCAAGCCATCCGTCCCGTCAACCCCTCGGGTAAATACCTCCCACCATCCTCCTTAGCATCATGCGGGATCTGCATCAACGCCTTCGCATCGCCGATATACGCCAACGTCCCCATGTTCCGGAACGAGAAGGGCGGCGCCGTCGCAAAGTCATCTTTGTTCAGCCGCGTCGCGAGCCACTTTGCTTCTTGGAAGGTCGCTTGCGCGGTTGCTGGGGGTGCGCCGGTCTCGGGCATGGCGTTGTCGCCGAGGGCGTAGACGTCTTGGAGGATTGCTGTTTGGGGAGGGTTACTTTCATCGTCGGAGGAGGAGGATTCGAGTTGCACGCGGAGGTGGCCGTCGACCAGGAGGGCGCCGACGTTGGGGGCTTTTTTGACGTGCCACGTTGTGTTGTGTTGGGTGTCAGGTGTATTATTGGAGGTACGGGATTTCAGAAGGGCAGAGTTGGAGGGATACTTGTCGACGGTTGTCAGGGCGTCACGGACGAATTTGTTCATTGCGTTGCCCGTGGCCCAGACGCACATGCCGACGCCGACTTCGCCTTCTTCCGCTGTGGTGAGGGTGAGGCAGCGCTTAGGGTCCATTTCGTAGGGTGGTTCAGCACCGGGCTCGCCCCACCGAAGGCTCTGGACGTGGTGGGAGGGTTTGATCTCGATGCCTTCCTTTTGCATGGTGTCCATGGCGTATTGGGAGAGTTTCTCGTCGAACATGGAGAGGACTTTGGGGGCGATGTCGTAGAGGGTGATTCGGGGGATGCCTTTGAGGGCTGGGTAGAGGGCGACGAGGTCCTTTACGATGAAGTCGCGTAAGGAGGCGGCGAGTTCCGTGCCTGTTGGACCGGCGCCAACTATGGCGAAGTGGAGGAGGTGGGAGCGGAGCTCTGGGGAGGTGGTGGGCAGGACGGCGAGTTCGAAGCATTCTCGCACCCGGCGACGGACTTTGCGCGCGTCTCCGATGTCTTTGAAGAAGAGGGCGTTTTCGCGCACGCCGGGGGTTTTGAAGGTCTTGGAGACGGTGCCGACGGAGATGACGAGCTTGTCGTAGGGGATGGTGAATGTTTCGCCGGTTTCCCAGGTGCGTTTGCGACTGGCGGATTGGGTGGCATTGAGTTGGAATTCCTCGTCCTCGCTGGTTCGGGGTGTTTCGGTCACGCCGCTTTTCACGACGGTGGCTTCGCAGGTGATGGTTTTGTCGGCGAAGTTGACGGATCGCGCGGCGGCTTGGATGAAGTCGACTTTTGAGGAAGGGTCGCGGATTGGTTCGACGATGTGGGAGAAGTCTAAGGAGCCGCCGGCGGCATCGGTGAGGAGAGGAGTGAAGACGAAGTATGATCGAGGGGAGATGATGATGGGGTTGTATTTCTGCGGAGAGAGCTTGCGAGAGAGGTTGTAGCCGCCCCAGCCGGATCCGAGAATGACAACGCGTTCTTTGTCGTGCTCTTCGCGGAATGCGGTTGAGTGACTGATCTGTGTTGCGAGAGGTCTGCTGATGGTTATGGGCTTTATGGTTGAGCGGGAGACGGAAGTGAGGAGGGAGGATGGACGCTTGCAAGCGACGGGGTAGCCCGGTAGCCTCATTGTGCCATTGAGCGGCAGGAATCAGTCGCTCTGTATTGCTTGAGTCCTTCTCTGTTGAAACTCGAGCTTGAAGCAGCAGATGAAGCGTAGATATGCGATACGAAGCTCATTGTCGGGTCAGGGCTGGTGCTGAGCACATGATGATATCATTCCCGGCCAGGATGGATGGGCCGGAACGGCGCGTCACGAATATCCCCTTTGTTAGGGATACTATCCTCTTTCCGAGACATATTTTCATCTC